CACACACACACACACACACCTGAGAGACACACACACAGGTAAGCACGCACACACACACACACACACACCTGAGAGACACACACACAGGTAAGCACACACACAAACAAACACACACACACACACACCTCAGGTAAAGGTACTGACCTGGCCCTGGCCCTGGGGAAAGACTTTGATGTGACCTCTAACCCTGAGTGCTCTCTGAAGCCCCTCCCACTGAGAATTAGCCAATCCCAGCAGAGTTTGGACAAATCCACCTGAGAAGCAGACGTGAGCCTCACCTGTCCCGTCATCAATCACCAGCCTGATGGGGTCCAGACAGACAGATTATTTATCAGACTTACAGATAATCTGATGAAGAACTGATCTGTTCTTACTTTGCTTTGGACTGAAACACAGACAAGGTCGACCCACAGTGAGAGCTGCAGCCCTGAGAGACAGATTCAACACAACTTTATTTAGAGTCTGACACAAAGATCTGAACATGAGGTGAAGGAGGCGCTGCAGCACCACCTATCTGCTGCACAAACTAGTTTTATAAAGTGGTTATTACACTGTTGTTTTCGGTAAAGTGTAAAAGTAATGGATAGTTTGTAGTACTTTTGTAGTATTCTTTAATATTTTGTGTAACAGTGCATTTAGTACATAATGTATATAAGTACTTTGTGTAGTAATTGTGTAGGGCCTGTAAGTATAACTTCCTCCAGGGCAAGCCCCTTCACTGTAGCACCTATGTAGCCTTTACGGCAACCCCTTTTAACATAAAATCAGCATCGCCTGACTATCTGTAATTACATTTTAGATATCTAAAAATGAGCAGGAACAATTATATTGTGACTATCCTGGATGGTAATGTAAGATATCTGTATTTACATTCTGACTAGTCAGAAGAACAATTCAAAAATATCTTTAATTACATTCTGACGAATCAAAATGCCTTCATTTGTCATTTGAAGAGTCATACATTCATATGTGACTAGTTAAAATGACCTTTTTAGATCTCAGAATTAAGAAATTGTATGCAAGACCCCCTGCTGCCAATTAATCCWAACAATTGTCTGCAGAGATTTGAGTGGCTGCAGTGACAGACAATAAATTGTTTCTTAATTCATGTAGAGCTGAAGAGATAAAAATCTAGGCTAGTGACTTAGTAAAGCTAAACTTGAAACTTTCCGCCAAAATGCTATGTAAATTTGTGACTTTTTGACTAGACAGTGTAATTATTTCAATTCGATTCAATTAAAAAATTTATTCATTTCATTAAAAAATAACTACATACAATAAAAAACAACGAAATTACACAAATCAAAATAAAATGAAAGGTAGCAGAAGAAGAACAAATCTTATAATGTCTGCCCCTTTTATCCTCAGAACATATTCAAACGAAACATAATTTACAAAACAATACAAATAAAAATAAAAACATCAACTCAAACAACAACTCATATAGCTTCTATTCAAGATGTCTTGAATATCTTTCTGACTAGTCAAAATGTTAACACAAGATATCTTAAACAGAAAACCGGTCTAGATTAAAAATATTCAAGATAACTTGAATTCATCTTTTTGGAGATATCCTAAAATGAATTTTGACCAAAAAACAGTTCTAGATATCTCTAAGTTAGTTTTGTCTAATCATTATTTGCTTTCAAGTTATCAACAATTAAATTTGCACTTGTCAAATTTTTATATGTGATATCTAAAAATACTTTTTAAGATATCTTGTGTTAACATTTTGACTAGTCAGAAAG